AGGCCTCTGACCCACCACCCAGGCACGATGGCGGGAAGGGCCGAAGGCCAGTAGGATACGAAGCCGGGGGGGTACCAAGCCGGCGGCCGCTGGCTTGGTAGGGGGGAGCCCCCGGGGGGGTACCAAGCCGGCGGGGTACCAAGCCGGCGGCCGCTGGCTTGGTAGGGAGGAGCCCTCGGGGTGTACCAAGCCGGCGGGGTACCAAGCCGGCGGCCGCTGGCTTGGTAGGGAGGAGGCCCTGGAGGGGTACCAAGCCGGCGGGGTACCAAGCCGGCGGCCGCTGGCTTGGTAGGGGGAGCCCCCGGGGGGGTACCAAGCCGGCGGGGGCAGGCAGGCGCCCCGGGGGGGTACCAAGCTGGCGGGGGGTACCAATCCGGCGGCCGCTGGCTTGGTAGGGAGGAGCCCCTGGAGGGGTACCAAGCCGGCGGGGTACCAAGCCGGCGGCCGCTGGCTTGGTAGGGAGGAGCCCCCGGGGGGGTACCAAGCCGGCGGGGTACCAAGCCGGCGGCCGCTGGCTTGGTAGGGAGGAGGCCCTGGAGGGGTACCAAGCCGGCGGGGTACCAAGCCGGCGGCCGCTGGCTTGGTAGGGAGGAGCCCTGGGGGGGTACCAAGCCGGCGGGGTACCAAGCCGGCGGCCGCTGGCTTGGTAGGGAGGTGGGGGGGTACCAAGCCGGCGGGGTACCAAGCCGGCGGCCGCTGGCTTGGTAGGGAGGAGCCCCCAGGGGGGGTACCAAGCCGGCGGGGTACCAAGCCGGCGGCCGCTGGCTTGGTAGGGAGGAGGCCCTGGAGGGGTACCAAGCCGGCGGGGTACCAAGCCGGCGGCCGCTGGCTTGGTAGGGAGGAGGCCCTGGAGGGGTACCAAGCCGGCGGGGTACCAAGCCGGCGGCCGCTGGCTTGGTAGGGAGGAGCCCCCGGGGGGTACCAAGCCGGCGGGGTACCAAGCCGGCGGCCGCTGGCTTGGTATCTGGATGGGTTGGTTCGGCGCCAACAGGCCTCAGAAGAGCGGTCCAAGAGGTCCAAATCGACAATTTCCAATTGTTTTTGAAGGATGTTGGCCCTCCTGCCTTTTCGGCTCTCCGACGCTCCAAGACGGCCTAAGAGGCCCCCAAGACCGCCCCAAAACGGCCTCCAAGAGGGCCCCAAGACGGCCCAAGAGGGCCCCAAGACGGCCCAGGAGGCGCCCAAGACGGCCCAGGAGGCCCCCAAGACGGCCCCAGGAGAGGGCCCAGAGGGGACCACAGACCGAAAGCTCGAGCCTTCCGCCCCAAGGCCGCCAGGAGACCCCAAGAGGCCCCGAAGAGGCCCCAAGGGGCCGCCAAGACGCCCCCAAAGAGGCTCCCAAGAGACCCAAAAGAGGCCCCAAGAAGCTCCAAAACAGCCCCCAAGATGCCTCAAAACTGCCTCGAAGAGGCCCCCGAGAGGCCAGCCACGAGATCCCAACCAACATCCATGAGGCCTCTGACCCACCACCCAGGCACGATGGCGGGAAGGGCCGAAGGCCAGTAGGATACGAAGCCGGCGGGGTACCAAGCCGGCGGCCGCTGGCTTGGTAGAGAAGAGGCCCTGGAGGGGTACCAAGCCGGCGGGGTACCAAGCCGGCGGCCGCTGGCTCCATGGTAGGGGGGGCCCCCGGGGGGGTACCAAGCCGGCGGGGTACCAAGCCGGCGGCCGTTGGCTTGGTAGGCCAGCGCCCCCGGGGGGGTACCGAGCTGGCGGGGTACCAATCCGGCGGCCGCTGGCTTGGTAGGGAGGAGGCCCTGGAGAGGTACCAAGCCGGCGGGGTACCAAGCAGGCGGCCGCTGGCTTGCGCCCCCGGGGGGGTGCCAAGCCGGCGGGGTACCAAGCCGGCGGCGCTGGGAGCTTGGTAGGGAGGAGGCCCTGAGAGGGTACCAAGCGGCGGGGTACCAAGCCGGCGGCCGATGGCTTGGTAGGGGGGGCCCCCGGCGGGGGTACCAAGCTGGGCGGGGGGGGTACCAAGCCGGCTGCCGCTGCTTGGCAGGGAGGAGCCCTGGAGGGGTACCGGCGGGGGGTACCAAGCCGGCGGTGCTTGGGGAGGAGGCCCTGGAGGGGTACCAAGCCGGCGGGGTACCAAGCCGGCGGCCGCTGGCTTGGTAGGGAGGAGCCCCCAGGGGTGTACCAAGCCGGCGGGGTACCAAGCCGGCGGCCGCTGGCTTGGTAGGGAGGAGGCCCTGGAGGGGTACCAAGCCGGCGGGGTACCAAGCCGGCGGCCGCTGGCTTGGTAGGGAGGAGCCCCCGGGGGGGTACCAAGCCGGCGGGGTACCAAGCCGGCGGCCGCTGGCTTGGTATCTGGATGGGTTGGTTCGGCGCCAACAGGCCTCAGAAGAGCGGCCCAAGAGGTCCAAATCGACAATTTCCATTTGTTTTTGAAGGATGTTGGCCCTCCCGCCTTTTCGGCTCTCCGACGCTCCAAGACGGCCTAAGAGGCCCCCAAGACCGCCCCAAGACGGCCTCCAAGAGGGCCCCAAGACGGCCCAAGAGGGCCCCAAGACGGCCCAGGAGGCGCCCAAGACGGCCCAAGAGGCCCCCAAGACGGCCCCAGGAGAGGGCCCAGAGGGGGACCACAGACCGAAAGCTCGAGCCTTCCGCCCCAAGAGGCCGCCAGGAGACCCCAAGAGGCCCCGAAGAGGCCCCAAGGGGCCGCCAAGACGCCCCCAAAGAGGCTCCCAAGAGACCCAAAAGAGGCCCCAAGAAGCTCCAAAACAGCCCCCAAGATGCCTCAAAACTGCCTCCAAGAGGCCCCCGAGAGGCCAACCACGAGATCCCAACCAACATCCATGAGGCCTCTGACCCACCACCCAGGCACGATGGCGGGAAGGGCCGAAGGCCAGTAGGATACGAAGCCGGGGGGGTACCAAGCCGGCGGCCGCTGGCTTGGTAGGGAGGAGGCCCTGGAGGGGTACCAAGCCAGCGGGGTACCAAGCCGGCGGCCGCTGGCTTGGTAGGGAGGAGGCCCTCGGGGTGTACCAAGCGGCGGGGTACCAAGCCGGCGGCCGCTGGCTTGGTAGGGAGGAGGCCCTGGAGGGGTACCAAGCCGGCGGGGTACCAAGCCGGCGGCCGCTGGCTTGGTAGGGAGGAGCCCTTGGGGGGGTACCAAGCCGGCGGGGTACCAAGCTGGCGGCCGCTGGCTTGGTAGGGAGGAGGCCCTGGGCGGCCGCTGGCTTGGTAGGGGGAACCCCCGGGGGGTACCAGCCGGCGGTGCCAAGCCGGCGGGGTACCAAGCCGGCGGCTGGCTTGGTAGGGAGGAGCTACCAAGCCGGCGGGTACCAAGCCGGCGGCCGCTGGCTTGGTAGGGAGGAGGCCCTGGAGGGGTACCAAGCCGGGGTACCAAGCCGGCGGCCGCTGGCTTGGTAGGGAGGAGGCCCTGGAGGGGTACCAAGCCGGCGGGGTACCAAGCCGGCGGCCGCTGGCTTGGTAGGGAGGAGCCCCCGGGGGGGTACCAAGCCGGCGGGGTACCAAGCCGGCGGCCGCTGGCTTGGCAGGGAGGAGGCCCTGGAGGGGTACCAAGCCGGCGGGGTACCAAGCCGGCGGCCGCTGGCTTGGTAGGGAGGAGGCCCTGGAGGGGTACCAAGCCGGCGGGGTACCAAGCCGGCGGCCGCTGGCTTGGTAGGGGGAGCCCCCGGGGGGGTACCAAGCCGGTGGGGTAACAAGCCAGCGGCCGTTGGCTTGGTAGGCAGGCGCCCCCCGGGGGGTACCAAGCCGGCGGGGTACCAAGCCGGCGGCCGCTGGCTTGGTAGGGAGGAGGCCCTGGAGGGGGTACCAAGCCGGCGGGGTACCAAGCCGGCGGCCGCTGGCTTGGTAGGGAGGAGCCCCCGGGGGGGTACCAAGCCGGCGGGGTGCCAAGCCGGCGGCCGCTGGCTTGGTATCTGGATGGGTTGGTTCGGCGCCAGAAAGGGTACCAAGCCGGCGGCGGGCGTACAGAATGCAAACTGGTATATGTGTTATCCAAGCACTTCATGTCACAACGCAAACAGCGGTGTACTAGTTTAGCGTTCGGAGCGAGTGGAGCTATCTGATCATGGCGGCCAGACCCTGGATCTCCCACCACAGACGCCTCGAGTAGAGGCCTCCTAGATGGGGTCGGAGTGGATGGGGTCGGTGGGTCGGGCGGCATCGCCGATACATCGGCGATGCATCGGCGATGCATCGCCGATGCATCAGTGATGCACCGGCGATGCATCGTCGACGTCGGCGATGCGTCGGCGACGTCGACGCGAGGCACATCGGGCCCCACATCGAGCCGCGTCGAATGTTCAAATTCTAATAATCATGTTCATGTTCGCGCTGACATGGGGTTGCTTGTTGTACCCTTGAGATCATATGGAAAATAATATCCAAGATTCGCCCGCGCGCACTGCATCATCACCCGATCAATGAGATCCAATCTACGTGTGAACGCAATGCTGGACTCAATGTTTCCCACAACCCAAAGAGCGATTGATATGTTGCTCTGCAATTGGAAATCCTGATTTCTGCGTTTGAACGTCCAATCGACCCCCAGCTCTGCCTCCGCGTGAACCAATCTATCTAACAACGCCGTTTGCAAAGCCGCAAAACTACCGCGACCCCTCCGCTGGAAAAAACATTCATCGACTTTTCGATGGTGGGTCGTCCTGCCATAAACATTCGTAGACTTTCCGTGCGCTGTGGCTGCGGTGTGGATCTTACTGTGGAACAGATGCGCACCCCGGTGCGAGATCTGCCAGCCTTGACGCTTCGCGCATACCCACCAGCCCATCCATACACGATGCCCATGAGAGTTGCCCAGCGAAGCGCGGTGGCGAAAACAACAGTTAATAGTGAAGAGAGGTACTTCGACGAGAACGTTGGAAGCATCGTTGGGCCATATTGGATGCCGTTGGGCCCCCCTCTGGGGCAATCTTGGGGTCATCTTAGGGCCCGTTTGCGGTCTCGTGGGGCCCCGTGTGTGTGTGTGTGTGTGTGTGTGTGTGGCTATTAGGGCTGTACTGGAGGCCGTCGATTCACTTTGCGCCCCCGCGAGCGACCTCGAAAGCTGCAACCAGGAAGGAGGTCGAGAGAGGGAGAGGAGGCGGAGGTTCGAGGTTCCCAAAGCTGGACTCTCGGTCGGTTCTGCGCATCCTGGGGCGCCCTTGCGACCGCGGCTGGATTCCACTCGGAACTCCGGCCAGGTACGGCTTCGGGTCCAGGTAAGGCCATGGTAAGGCCAGGTCCAGGTCCAAGGGTCCGTGCCAGGTAGGGCTTCGGGTTGTGCCCAGGTCGTCCCTCCGAGCAACTAGTCCCAGCTGGCCCGAACAGGCCCCCCAAGTGGTCTGGGGCGGTCTCAGCACCCCAACCCTGGGGCGCGGATCGCCCGATGGGCGCCGCCAGAGGCGGCGCCAGGGTGTGGAAACCGCCCTGGCATGCTGAGATGGGCTGTTGAGGCCAGCTGGGACTACTCGGGAGGCCTGCGCAGGCCAGCTGGGACTGCGTGGGGAGCTTTCTGCGCGCAACCCGAAGCCTTGCCATCCGTGCTGGCCAGCAGGACAAGAGGGATGAGAAGCAGCGGCATCAGCTCGGGATCCCCACGATCGGTCAGCGTCGAATCGGGAAATCGGATCCGGGAGATCGGATCGGAGCGGAACGTGCGTCGGATAGTTCTGCATCGACACAACATCGGATCGGATCGGCTACGCCCTGCAGGCATCGGGCCGCATCGGGTCGTTGGAACACCGAAGCATCATCGGATCGGGCTGGCGAACGTCGACCGAACGGAACCGACCGAACCGAAATGGACCCTGGAGGAACGAGGAACAATGGCAGCAGCTAGGCCGGAGGCGACGATAGGGGCGAAAAACCCCGGGGCGGGCATTACACGTATTCGCCCGGGAGCCTTTTCGAAGACATAGAGCATCGACGCAGCTGAATACATGTACTGCTCTCCCCTCGGCTATTCGCCCCTATCGTCGCCTCCAAAGCTAGGGGTCCCCGAGCCTGCCGGCGGTCGTAGTGGAGCCGTGGCGTCAGCCCAGCTTGCGCCAGGAAGGAGATCCGCGGCCCCCGCCCTTCGCCGGAGGGGCGGCGGGCAGGAGGCGAGCGCCTTGGCCCGGGAAGCTCCCGCCCCTGAGGCTCGGAGGCGGCGGCAGGCGCTCGGCGGCGCGCCAACCACGAGCAGCGAACGCAACGAGCACAGAGGAAGATGAGAAGGATGAGGAGGAGGAGGAGGAGGAGGAGGAGGAGGAGGAGGAGGAGGAGGAGGAGGAGGAGGATGATTTTTTTCCAGTGCGCCGCTGCCAACCAACCTCCAGAGCGCAAGAGATGCAGGGGTTGCCTGGCAGGGAAAATCAAGTCACGCAAGCCAGCTCAAGGAGGTCTTGGAGGGCGGGAGGCCCTTGCAAATACGCTGTAAAACCTCGAGCTGGTGCTTAGTAGTGGCATGCGGGCCAAAAGCGGCCACAGAACAGGGCTCCCGCAAGGATTCAGGGCGAGCTATTGCCCAGGAGCCGCATTCACCGCAAAAGGTGAAATCATCTTTATGCCAAAGCACGTGCGAAGGGTGGACCGCCTTGCCAGCGACCCATGGCTCAGCTCGCTGGGGGGGCGGATCGAGCCTCAGGCGGCGCCAGAGGGAGTCATCCCTGGCGGCCAGGGCCCGACCTGGCCTCACCCACTTTTTGACAGGGGCCTCCTCCACCTCCACCGACTCCAGACCCCCAACTCCACCACCTCCATAGGCAGGGCAAGCAGAGCGGAGCCTCGCGCGGAGCGATGGGGCAGCGTCGGAAATCGAGGCCTTGCACTTGTCACACGTCCAGAAGCCAGACACAAACTCCCAAACGTGCGACGAACACCTAACATCAGCTTCGATCCAACGCCGCCTGCGGAGCACAAGATCGATGGGCTGCTTGCGCAGCCTGCGCTCAGGATCAGCCTTGAGGGCAGCATACTCGAGGGTGATAGAGGCATTGCGCTTGAGGATAGCACAGGCATTGCCAACGAGCTCGTTATAAGTCTGCACAACTCCCTCAGGCACCTGGCATTCGAGAGCACGCAAGTTAGCGAGGAGTTAAGCACAACATGGTCCCAGTCTACAGAATCGCCAAAACGGGCTAGCTTCTGGGCGTCGTCCAGCAAGTGGCTGGGCACATGCGAGACCTGGAATTGACCAGGGCGCTCCGAGAGGAGCTGCCACAATTCCCACCAGAGATCAAAATTTGCCAGCCTGGCAGGGGCCGCTCGGCCAGCCAGGAAACCTTTGACAACATTGGCATGGTCGGTGACCGCGCGCAGATCTTGGGCAGGATCAACGCAGCGAAGGCACTCAACAATAGCCGCAAGCTCTGCGCGGGCCACCGTCTGCCGAACAGAGTCGAGCACACCTGTGACTCCACAATCCCAGTCGAAGCCATCGCTAGGACAGAGCCGCACAAAGGCAAAAGCCACTCGACGGAGGACAGGAAACCTGGCAAACTGGCCACCAGTGCCGTCGGTGGCGTAAAGGCCTCCTGGCAGACAGCCTGGAGATAAGGCCCCAGGGCGCCGCCGTCCCTGGAGCTCCCTGGACCCAGGAACAAGGGGAAGGTTAAACCAAGAAAGGGGAATGAGTCCTCGAATCCAGAAGCACGGAAACTGCACAGCTTCTTGCAGCGCACTGTGCCTAAGATGCTGAGTGTCGACAATCTCCTGGTCCTGCGACGACGCGTTGCACATGCATCCCCAAAACCTGTGGCAGGAAGTCTCGGGGTCACGCTGGCGGCGCCGACATATAGGATCAGGGGCCATCTGGGCATTGCGCCTTCTCTCCTCGGTCCAGTAGCCTCCAGAGACCAAGAGCCGAATCATAGCCGCGAGGTCCCGATGCCCGTCCTTATCGAGGGAGGCAACAAGGTCCCAGACGTGATGCAGGGAGACAGAACCCTGGATCCCAGCGCCATCCAGCCACTCTGAGGCCTGGCGCCACTGAAACGCGTCGATCGATTCATCAAAGGCCTCAAGGAGAGGGCCTAGAGGGCCATGCCCGTCACCCATCATCTGCCACTCATCACCGCAAGGCGCAATGAGAGTGAATGGTGAGGGGCATTGCCATCCAACAGACAAAATCGTGGCTTGAAAAGCAGCCGTCGGCCCTCGGACCCACGCCCACCCTTTTCGGACCTTGGCCAAGGAGGCCGCCCAGTGTCGGGCCAAGCGATGGTGCAGACCAGGACGCCCCGCCAAGCGAGCAAACCACGACTTGACAACACGACGGACGTAGACCTGGAGGGGGTCCTGGCCATAGCCGAAAGTGAGGCGGATGGCTGTAGTGGCACACGCTCCTCTCTGGGGGGTCTTGCTGGCCGCGCGGGCCATGCTGCGAAGACCTCTGCGCATGGAGGGGGAAACGCCGTGGGTCTCTGGCGCCCACATGGCCTTCGCATAAGCACTAGGATAAAACAACTTGCTGGCATGCCTGCAAGTGCGCCCCAAACCAAAAATCTTACTAGTGGCATCTCGCCCTTTGGAAAAGCGGGTCTTCCTGACGGCCACAGTCCTCCTGGCACCCATGGCGGCGTCGTGCCCTAAGTCCCCGGCAGCCAGTGCCGTCGAGAACTCGCAGCCCGTACGGACAGCGATCCTGGACAGCTCGGCCCGAAGGCCAGGCGAAGACGCCAGCAGATGTGACTTATCCAGGGACAACTGACAGCGACGCCTCCTGAGGCCAGTGAGGGGGGCACGCAGCAGGATGGGAAAGGTGGCAGCGATGGAGGAATGCGTGCCAAAAAGGCGAGCTGAGATGTCATCCACCCACTCCCGCAGCCGAAGACCACCAACTGATCCATTGGCTCCTGTAAAAGGTTGGTACAGATGGGCACGAGCGAGGGAGGTGGCCTGGCCACAGCCAGCCAACATACCCCCATGAGCCAGGATCCCAGGGTGAACAGCTCCCTCTAACGACAAATGCCGAACCCCAAAGTACAGGTCAATGGCCAGGGCCAACAGACGGAGTGGGTAATCTAATTGGCAGGCGGCTTCCACCAAGTCCTGAAGACAGACTTGGTCATACTACTTCTTCATGTCAAGCAAAAGGCCCCCGACTTGAAAACCGCTGTGGAGGGCGAGTTCCGTTTCCAGCTCGTCGAGCCAACCAGCAGCATCAGCCGAACCACCAACGGTCTGGTCCCAGGGCCCGTGCGCCTCGCGGTCCCAGGCCGTGACGAATGGCTTCCTGATGCGCAAAAAGAAGTGTAAACAAAGCCGAGCAGCGCAATGGGCCGTTTCCCCCCGTCAGGTTTCGGGATAAGGGCGATCAGCGCAAAGAGCTGCTGGAACGGCAAAGCGCACTGCTCCTCAATGGACTCGAGTAGCTGTATTAGGTGAGTCTTGGCATCTTCGCGAGCCTCCTTAATTAAACGCGGCTCAATAAAATCCAAACCGTGACCCCTGGAGTCAGGCATCGACTTGAGCGCACGATTGAGGGTGCGAAGGTCGATGGGTGGCAAACGCGGGGACGACCGAGCACGCTTACGCAGGGAAGCCAACGCAGCCCTCGCTTCAGCCTTATCGTGCTGCTGCCAGATGGCCGCCCAAGCGGCTGCTTCAAAATTTAGAAGCTGATCCAGGGCAGAGCAGGGTCCATCCTCATCGATCTTTTCGGCCGCCAGGGGGTCCAGGGGGGGCTTAAGCAAACGGTGGGCCGGCCCCGCAGACCTGAGGAGCGCGCCCTGGAGCCAAGCCTTCCACGAGGCCTTCTGAGCCTGAAGGGCGTCACGGCGGGACTTCTCAGACACCTGCTGAAGTTCAGATAACAAGTCGTGCAGCCCGTCAAAAGGTATATCGGGAATCTGCTGAAACCGAGTTGTCCACAAGTTAAAGGTGCCACACTGGCCAGCATCTGAAGGATCCGACGGGGAGGGGGGCACCTGCTGAGAAAGCCAAGCAAGAGTGGCACGAAATTGAGCAGCGTGCTTTCGGTGAGGCTGCGGCGGGATGTCATCAATGGAGTCCTGTGGGACAAGCTTGAGCAACAGCTTAAGCTTGACAAAGGCGGCCTGCCAGAAACGGGCGTCACGATCGGCCCGGCAGGGCCCCTCAACCTGGGCGGCCAAGAGGGGCACCCAACGCAACCTGGGCTCCTGGCAACGACCAATGTACTGGAAAACCTTGTCCTGAGTCAAGCCAAGCTTCGAAAACGCCTCCAGCTCAAGAGCAACCATCCAAGTAGACAGCTGGGCCCCTAAATCGAGGGAGACCTGAATGTTGTCATGCTCAAGCTTAAGGAGACTGGCAGCAGCATAGTTGGCCGTGAAGAAGCCTGGCCGCTTACGCTGCAGCAGCTGAGCCTGCACCAAGAAGTGCGGCCAGGCTTCTACAGGGGCAACAACGCCTTTGACAGGCAGAGGTTTAGGTCGCATGGCCTTCCAAACCTTGATGGCCCTGGGAGACGCCGAGACCAAAAACCCGAAAGCAGCATGCGTGCCCCAAGGCACTGGAATGAGCGACCTAAACTGGACGGCACTAGAAAAGCAAGCGGAGACAAAAGCGTAATCGATCCGACTGGTGGTGACTCTAGAGCATGTAACCGAAACACCAGGCATAGGAACAGGGACGAGGCCGAGGGGCTCCAGCCAACCTGACTCCTCGAGAACACTCTGGTCAACCTGCCAGTCACCCACCACGAGGGCGGGAACACCTGCCGCACTCAGATGGGCGCCGAGGTCTGCCAGCAGCTCGAGGTTCTGACCGTTGAGCTCACCCCCCGTGACCAGGTAGACAGGGACGATGGTCAGGGAGACCTTCCGAAGCCTCAGAGTGCACAGTAGCCACCGAGCCGTACCAGCGGTAGTCCATTCACCCGCCTCACAAGTCAGTTGCGAGAGCCCAAGATGCGAGCGGGCAGCCACAAGGACACCTGACGATGCATCATCAGCAAGCGTGGGCTCAGCGGCCTGCGCTACAACTTTCCAGCCCAGCTTATGTAGCTTCTTGACCATCGCATGGAACTTGGAGCCGCGCATCCTGTGCTCAACGAAAATGCTGATATCCGCCGAGCACCCAGCAACCCATCTGCACGCAGTGGGGCCCCACG